AACCAGAAATGCAGGAAAAGATTCAATATTTGGAGGCCAATACTACCTCTGTCGTAGTTTAAACAAACAAACAAACAAAAAAGACAAACCAGCAAAGAAAACATGTCAACTGGCATATAACCACAGCTGTGTGTACTTATAATTTTTATTTTAATTTTAATCTATAATCCTGACTGAGATTCTAGCATATATGCATGGTCTTTATTCATGTCCTTTAGCTCAATATCTACCTTCATTCAAATAAACCCAAAAGATAACAAGTGTATGAAAAGGAGGAGTTCTGTACTCCATCTCAGTGCAGTAGGTTGTTTTTTTATTACTATTTTTAAGTCAGAGACATTCATGTAGAAGATAGAATGTGTATGGTTTTATTTCCTAAAAGTAGTAACTCATAAAATTATGCCAAAAGCTCAGCCCATACCCCCAGCACAGAGTCTATATTGTTGATAGGTATTAGCTCAGTCCATGGGGATAATAAGGCAAACTTTTTACACAGGAAAAACTGCCACCTCCAAATCCCAGCTTATTACCAGGTTTTTTGTTCCAAAGGACAGGAAGGTTTCCGTCGCATAAGCAAAATATCCCATCCCTGAACACACTTTTTTAAGCAGTGTATCACTCTGTATGACTGAAAAAAGAGATTAGGGTTGCTAGGCCTTTAACAAGTGCCTTCCAACCTACTGTACCCAAAAGTAGCTCAGATCCAGAAAATGTAAAATTATCAATACATTGAAAATTGGACTCAACAAGCAAGAGTTTAGAAGAATGAAAAAAAAAAAAAAACCAGTGCATAACTTAGAAAGGCCTTTTTTAATTTATTACAGTAGGTTGCTCACCAGATTCTTTTATCTGTTTGTCAACAACAAGAGCAGCAACAGCTAACTGACTTTGAGAGATGACTGGCAATAGGGATGCCATGTGGCAACAAAGGAGGACTCAAAATCTGAGTGGCAATTGATGGAGAAGGGAGAATAATCTGAAAACCAGAGGTGCAAAAAGAGAGGTGCATGACATCAAATATTATTCAGAACTGGAACTGAAGGGGACAATCGAAAAGCAAATGATTCTAGACTGTTTTTGCTATAGCACAGAGGAGGAACAATACATTGTTTTCACAGTGAAACATTTGAGCAATTAAATAACGAGTTTGCCTAGAAGGGAAACGCTTTCAACATGGGCCTTAATATCTTCTAATTTGCCTGGCCTGAATTATGAGAACAGATTTTTGGCCTGGCCTATACCACAAAATATGAGTAGGATTAAGAGCATTCAAAGTAGTTGACAAGATGCTGAAGCAGAAGAGAACCTTCCCACAGAGACTAGAAAGTTGGGGTCAGCACTGGATTAGCTGACACACAGACTGCATTTTGTGTTCCAGAGGCTTAATCACTTCACTTAAAGCTATCAACATGCAAAAGTAGCAATAGAAAAATTATAAACTCTTTGTCCTGGCTTGATTTGGCAACTATGTGACAAAGAATGACTTAATAATATTTCTTTCCCATGTATGAAGTTTTTAGAGATCACCTTCTATTTATTTGTATCCAATTAGCTAAGAATTTCTGTAGTCAGAATTGTTACAGTTATAACAGTTTAGTAGTAAGGGCTAGTTTTTCAAATATAGGAGCCTAGAGACTTATACATCTACAGATAGAAAGGATACGGATCCACTCGTCCTCCTGAAACCAAGACTGACCTATCGAGTTCTGCAAGAGAAAAAACAAATACTGACATGGAAAAGAACTGATCTAACTCAGAATTACAGTACTACTAGAAGTTGGGTGGTTTTTTCATTAAATACCATCTGTACTAAAATACCATGGGTGGTTTTTTTTTTTCATTAAATACCATGAAATACCATGAAATACTAAAATACTGAGAAATTTTAAACTGTTTTACATTTGATGAGGAGAGGGAAGTAGTTCCTGGGTATGGGGTTTTTTTTAAATCTACATTTTCCTTCAGGTTTTCACATGCTCTTGCATAAACATTTCCTGGCTCAATATTGTGTTTGCTCACACCGCAGTTCTTCCACAGACTCATTTACTTCCTGCTGCAAAGAAGGGGGAGGGAGGGCAGTGTGCAGTGTAGCACCATTTATCCTTTTCAGACAAGGTCTGATTTAGAAAAGAACCAGCCACAACTTGCTGGTTACCAGAAGCCAAATAAATAATTTTACTCTTTGATTATCCACATCATTCAAAACCTGTGTCAGTGGCAATTGGCTTGTTTCCTGTCATGCTGGGACCTGGGTTGCACAACAAGTTTGTCTTGCAGAGGAACACGAGGTGTCTGGAGTTGAAGGCTCCTGGAACTGTTAGTTTTAAAAATTTTGTCTTGGACTGAGCACCTTAACTCCTCCCTGTTCTCTAGCACAGCAGCTAAAACGGAGCCATCCTCCTGGAGCCTGTACAGCCAGAAGCTCCCCCAGGGACCCCCACACCCTTCCCCTCACATTAATGGGCAGCTAACTAATAGACTAAAAGAAATAAATTAGAAAAAATCTTATTCCGGTAGATGTCAAGGAAGAAGACAATCCCAAAGAAGAATTTAAACAGAAAGATGTATGAGCTTTACAGTTCATTGTACAAAAGAAAGCTTGTGTAAGATACTGCATAAAAGAAAATGAGAAAATGGTTTTAAACAAAACAGAAAGTACGTCTCCAAGGTTTGCACCACTAATGGAACTCAGAGGAGGGATGAAAAATACTAGCATTATCTCTGGCTCAGGAAGTCCCAAAACCATGATTCAGAATAAGGTAGGAGCATACACCAAGAAGGGATCGTTACGTGCTTGACATTTTCTTATACGCTCCCCCAGGCTGCTGTCAGAAACAGGATACCCGGCTAGACAGATGTTTAGTCTGATCCTGCATGACTGTTCTTAGTTTGTGATAGTAAGACCATAAATGTGGATAGGAGGAAAGTTATGTGCAACTCAGGGATCACACGAAACTCCAAGTTGATGCAGGCACAGCAGCCAACAGTGAGGACTGGACCCAAACTGAGGCATGTCGGCTCTGAGCAAATTCTGACCACTATGGACTTCCCCCCTGTTCATACTGCCTAAAATCCTTCTCATACATTTCAGGATTTGTCTTTAGGACATATAGCACCTTTGGAGTCAAAGCACTTCCCCTACTGTCTTCTGGTCCTTCAGTTACATATTTCATTCTTCAAAAACAAAAATGAAGTTTCTTTGCTCTCTTGTCTCTGAATTTATACCTGTTATCATGCTACTGCCAATGTGGACATTTTCTGCACTGCATTTTCTAGTTCTTTGCAAGAAAACAAATCTCCCCCAGACCACCACTCCTTGTCCTATGCAAGTCATAACCTATTCAAAAAGTACATTGTCCCTTATCCTGCCACCAAGTATTTGGGAGCTAAAGCAGCCATGCAGAGAGATTTTGCCATATAATAACAATGTCACGAGGTCGACTATAATTTCTAAGTTGTTCATAGATGGCCCAAATCATCACAGTTCAAACACAGGTGGAACAATTCCTGCTCAGGAAGGGGTTTACTTCCAACTTTAGCATAGACTACAGTCTATACTAGAAATTCTCTTTCACAACAAATTTTCTTTCAGCACAGCCTTCAGAAAGACTACCTTTTCTTGCTCCTAGCAATTTTAATTCATGCTCTTTCAGGCAGGTTTGCTAAAGAGACTGTATATAGAAAATGTTATACAACAGTTGCAGCAAGTAGCCTACACAGCAGCTCATTTGCTGTGACAAATTGCACAGAGCATGCCACACACCAATACTCCATATTCTCTTCTGGGTTACTGAATCGATTCTGTTTCAAATTCATGACACACCATTTCATATGTAAAGCCACTAAAGGACTAAAACTATTTTCTTGTGCTAGCTCAGACTAACCTCTTCTCTAGGAGACAGGGTAGCCTGCAAGGCAATGTGCAACACAGATGCAAGCCCACTCAGACATTTCTTGGATGACTATCTAGCCACTGTGATATTATACAAAAGGAGCTGCTCCATCTTTCTCCCAGCAGTAGCTGCTGCCACTGTGTTTTATGAGGAGATGAAGCTCTCCAAGGATGTTGTGTGTTCTGGGAACATTTACCAGATCAGCTGTCCCAGGTAAATCTGAACCCATAACATCTGATTCCTGGATCCTAGTCAAGCTTAAGGAGAAGGGCAAAGAGTTCCGCTAAAACAGGGCTGTTTTGGACCTCAGCTGACAGGCACCACAGAATGGTAAAGTTGCTCATGGAGCTTAGGTGTCACCAGGGCTAGACTGCAGTTAAGGAGGCACTCTTGGGGTCATTGTTTTGGACTTAAACAGCTTACTCTTCCCAATCACATTCTAGGTAAAAAAAGGGGTGACTTCAGTGATCCATATCTCTCAACAGGACTGTACAATCTACAAATGCATTCCTCAACTGACTGAGAAAATTACTTACTGGTTGTGTGCACCATAGCCTGATCATCCCTAATGAAAGAGTTATAATGGAATGATTTTCACTATGGAGGTAATCACCTCACTTAATTTCAGTCATCTTATAAAAAAACAGTACCTCTTCCATAATGGGAGGGTGACTTGGTGACACTACCAACTTAAGCAGCAATTTCAACGAGGTCAGACCTGCCACTTAGAGAATAAAAGTACTCAGGAACAAAGTACAAACCAAGTGGGACAACTGGCCAGAAAGCAATATTTTCTCTCTCTTCTAACAACAGGTGAAGAAGCATAGACAACTAGATTAAACTGGAGAGCAAGATTACATGTGTTTGTGTTATAGTAATGTCATCTTGCACCAGAAAAAACAGGACACATGAAGAAGGATTTCTTTAAAGCTAGTGCCCTTTAAACTACATTGGCATACATTTTTAGTTAGCAGCTATAAACTTTTTCTGCTCTAGGATTCTTGCAGACTGGAGACTTATACAACAGGCCAGGTACATCAGATTCACACTATCACAAGAAAAAGAGAAGTTCTCAAAACAGCAACACAGTTGTTTAATTTACCTTACCTTACACTGTCCACCAGAGTAATACTAGTTCTTATTACCAAGTAAAAATGTAGGAGTGCCTTTGTAAAGTGAGATACAGAGATGGATATTCTGTTAATTTACAAGGTTAAAGACCTTTCATCAATCTTTACATATTAAGTAGTATTTATCATTTCTATCATAATGCCCATTCCAGTCATAACATTGTGCTCTTATGGAAGACCACAATTAATCTGCCACCTCCCCAGATTACATTTCAGTGATTTTATTTAAGACCTCTTCCACATTAATAGTTCCCCATGACTGAACCTGTGTTTCAACAGGAAAAACTTTACTGAAGGGGGAAAAAGAAGGTAATTCCCATTAAATGTGATGCTTAACAGTGATACTGAGCAGCAACTTTTTTGATGCTGTCTGACACCAGATGAGAAATCACTTTCTAATTAAGTGGAGAAGTAGCATATGTATGAGCACTCAGAGCCAGCTTCTGAGTGTGGAAGTAATGCCTTCATTTTGCAGGGTAAGTCTGTTCTGCTTCTTTAAAGAAGATACTGTAAAAAAAAATATGACCTTGGAAAGATTTCCTATGTATGGCATAGAGAAACTATAATTCCCAAGACTCCACAGCTCCTAAGTGTTTCAAAAACAGGCACAGAAGAATGAAAAACCAGACAGGTGACAATAATGGCATGAGCAAAATACCTTATGCCTCACTCAAGTATTTTATATTCAAGGCACAAGTTACAACTCATAAATTTCATTAAATCTACTTAATTTATACCAGAATCCACTGCCTCTTTGTCTTTCAAGAGAATAGAAATGCATGGGAGATTGTGGACAAAACTGATATTTCTTGTGGGAATAAAATCCAAACAGAAAAAGAGAGAGACTTAGGCTTAATCTTCCTTATTATTTGATAAAAAAGTATTTTCTGAGTAAAGGTACAAGTTATTTGTCATTTTGATCACTCCAGTACGCTGTTCCATACCTAAGAGTAGAAAATGTTTCAAATATTTAACAAATCAGGGCTAATTATACAGAATAATTGAATCCTTAATATAAAGCCTGAGAGACTTTATTCTTCTAACGTTACTTGCTGCTGATGTGAATACCATGAGAAGAGATAAAGCTACAGACCTGTTAATACAAAGAAGACAGTTAAAAATTACTTTCAGTTTTGAGAAAAACACTAGGCTCTGAATATAAGTTAATTATTAAAGTTCAATTCCCTTTCTTCCCAAAAAAAGTTATTTTAATTACTGCTTTTTTATGCCAAGTGTCTGCTTTATTTAAGAGAAGAAATTACTTTCTATTTGAAGCAATGCCTACTAGAAATAAGAGTTACTCAAGGGCAGTGTTTTATTGATAAAGCTTTTTCTTTATAATCATCATATGTCATAACATTTCACAGGATTCATGAGGTTCATATTTTTTCAAAGGCAGAAACAACTGGAAGTTCTGATCTGGGGTGAACAAAAAAACATGAAGCCCTGTCTAAAGGTGGAATCATTTTTGCATTTTAAACCCTAGATACAGTAAAAGTCAGGGCTTCATAAAAGAAGGAGAGGTTATTTGTTACCATAAGAGCTACCATTTTTAAACTGTTATGAGTATTTGCATACATTTACATGCACTGAAAGCACAGCCATTCAGAACAAACAAGGTTCATTATGAAGACAAACATGCTGAGTATGACTGAGTGACAATCTACACAATAGCTGATTTAAACTTTACATTCACGGACCATTTTTCTGAGGAGGAGGAACAGCTAAGGATACCTTACATCTCTTTGGCCAATTTTTATTTTTGATAAACCCTGGGGCTGCCTCTGTTAAGGTGAGAGAATACACTAAGGAGTCTGTTTAGCTTGTCGAAACCTCTAATATGGTCTCTGACTTTTAGCAGGCAAGCTTAAATGAATCTCCCTCAGCTAGTGGAATAGGTAGGAAAACTGGTTTAGCAAAAAGACATACACAGTTCTCTTAAACAGTTCAACTTTAAGGCATGTCTGCATGCATTCCTACTGCCTGTGACAATAGTAACACTTCCTTTCAGCCTAATAGGTCCTGAGCCCCATCCTTTGTCTGCTGATTAACTGCTCTATTCATTGACCAGACCACTAATTGCATGCTCCTTATAGTTACCCTACATTACTGTAAGAATTAATGAGACACAATTACAGCTCCCAGAAATCTCAGGCCTAGCCAACTGCAAAGCACTCCAACTGAATAAGAACTCCCCAAGAATAAAGAGAAAAATTCAGCCCATTGTTCACAGGAAGTAGAATGTTTTTTGTTAAAAAATTGTATTTATTTGAAGCTGTTTCATAATTAGGCCCTGGAGGAAAAAAAAAAAAAAAAAAGAGAGAATAGAGAAAGAACTTGGGAACCAGCATTCACTGAGAAATCACAGCAGATGCAAATAGACATACACACAGTTCAGATATGAAGAGAGAAGACATAAGGATGGAGTGCATGAAAAATTAGTGCTGTGAATGCTGCAAATATTTATAACCAATCAGCTGTTTAAACAGAGTATGTCCCACTGTATGGGAATTGCCACTAATGCAACCTTTTATTTGACAGTTTCAGTCTTGAACAATTTAAAATATGCATATGGCATGCTTCTGCAATCATGTCTTTACTATGAGATGGAAGAAGAGGAATTTATTTTCCCAATCCCAGAATTTAATATGCATTAGAAGTCAATGTCATTAGCCATGAAAGTCAAAATGAAGGACAGAAAATGAGTTTTTTGAAAATCAGCCATATTGAAAACTGCACTTACATTTAATCTGTGTAATCAACAGCCACAGCTATTCAGTCTTAGTGACTACAATCACTACCTATTAGCCTGTAAGTAGTTCAAAAGCTATTATTCTCACTTGAACAATTTTCCAATACACAAGAGACAGCATTAAGTTAATGAAGTTAATATGCAAAGTCAATATTCTGCGTTATGAAGTCATCTTATTCCATTGGTTCCTCTTCAACACATTTTCACCATATAAATTTTGTTTAAATTACATGTATAGTTTGACAAAGCCACTGATACCCAAAATAGAGCTTGAAATGCAGCACTATACTTTCTAGTCCTAGTAATCATTTTCCAGGGTACAATTTATAGCAGCCACTGAGACCCCAAACTACGCATGTCAGACTGGCACTGCTGCATTCCAGAATCAACATCTTTGGACAGAGACAACATTTTTTGTGCGACTCTACAGGGATTCTCAATAATTGCACCTAACTGCGGTAATAGTTTAAATTCATGGAAAATGGATGTTCTTCTGATACTATCGCTCACTGATATCACAGCAGAACGCTTTCCTGCATGAAGCAGACAGTTACCACCATGTGGTGCTGAATCCCAAGCAGGAAACAAGGCACGAATATGGATCAGAGACCTTTGTGTTCAGTGTATAATAAGTCCAATATCCCTGTCATAGAACAGCAATCATTAACTCAAGGATCTTTTGTTAAATGGCCCCTGTGGCTGGACTGGTAACAGCAGGGATCGAATTTGCAATCCTCAAGACTAGATTCATCTGTCAGGGAGACTGCAAGCCTACAAATTCATGTGTTTCCAAAGTAAGTCTCTAGGACTTGAAGTGAAAATACCAATTTCAATTAACCTTGGCTGATTAATCAACCTCAGTGCACGACCACAGAGCTTACATACACAGCTTTGGCTCTGGCAGTATTATTTGAAATGGGCTTTCCACATGTCTTGAAAAAACCTTTGAGGAAAAAAGGAAACCTTTGTCTCAAATAAAACATCACCTAGCTTGTTCAAGCTGTTCCTGTTTCAAGCCCAAAAATAGAACAAGTCTGAATTCCTGCAGAGTGTTATTTGAAATTATTTCTGCTAGTGCAAATAATGTATTCAGGTACCTGGTCCAGCCTTCAGTTCATATGTTATGAAATAATTTGAACCAATACAAAATACGCATATGCTCGAGGCTAGATGTAATTTCTAGTAGGATGTCTCTCTCTCCTATAACAGAAAAGGAAGTCCTTCCTGCAGACAAACACTAAGAGCCCACTCTTCAGGTCGTCAATTCCAAGTAGGGTGGAATTTCTAAATGAAAGATAATTTGAGGCATCCAGGAACTGCATTGTAAGAGACAAGAGAAGGTTTCAAGTTATAACCTGAGTTCACTCCCACCATTTCGACTCTCCTGTTCCACTACCAATTTCTTTAGAACTACTTGTGCTTTATTGCACTGCTTGTAGCACCAGCAAAGGACAATCCTGATCCACCAAGTGTTTCCATATGCTAATTTTTCCTGGAACTGGTTCACCCAAGGAAGCTTCCACTTTGGTTTGTGTGTTGCATATCCACTTTAGTTTGTGTGTTGCATATCACAAGCTTCACAGCTAGGAATTTTCCTTCCCTCCTTTTCACTGTTACATCTACATCCAGCCTCCCTTCTTTCTGCAAGTAGCTCGGTTAGTTAAACAATGGTCCTGTCTGTACTGTTTCCTAAATGTGGCCCCAAAACTGTCTTCAGGACTAGAACCACCAACAGGACAGGTGCTAAACGTGAAAACTCATGCATTTTCAGGCATTATTCATGCAACTTGCAGCTGTAAGACAATTCTGTAGACAGAAGATGAACAGGAGACAGGGACACATACTATTCTTAGAGTTGCTCTAGAGGTCGTTCTTTGGAGTGACATAAGCATAACCTATGATATATCATCTCTGTGTGCAGTGATATGAGTTGCATATGAGTCCCTACAGGATGAGACTGAAAGCTGATTTACACTAGAAAGGTTAATATAGAAATTACACTAACAAGACTCCTCTTCCCAAGCAACTTACACCTATCCCTCAAGAGAAGTAAAATGTACAGTTAAAAGAACTTCTTATGCAGCTTCTGCACTAGGGTTTTTGCTGGCATAGCTATGTCAGCAAAAAATTCATCTCCCTCTCTGACAGGCTTCCTTGATAACACTTTCAAGTGCAAACCAGGTGTCAGTATTTCTGTTATGACAGAAAAGAGTTCTACACTAGTCATGAGCTGAATACTTGGCCTTTTGTGACCTGGAAAAGTCCTTGCTTCCAAGGAGGTCAAATCCCATGATCATGTTTTCCACCAGCATAATCTCTCATGAGCACTGATTAATACAGTACTTATATGGTACTGTATTAACACATAGAGTAGCAGAAAATATATCGGTCAACATGCCACAAAAAATCCAGTGAATGTGAGGCACTAATAGTTCTATGCAAAAAACTGTTGTGATTTTTAAATTAGACTAAATATAATTTTAAATCTAATACTGTCTAGATATTTCAGTTGGTTTTACTTGGCTCTCAGAATGATTTAGATGATTCTAAGAATAGATTATCTATAGACTGAGTTCCCAGAGGCATCTGATCAGGAAACAAGATGACCAACAAACATCTTTCATTTTAATCAGGATTGTTAAGTAGAAAGTTAAAAATACCGGTTGAGAGCAGGTAGATAGCTTTTAAATAAAGCTATGCTTTTAAATAATTAAATACATAGATCTAGCACATGGCATTAGGCAACAACCCCACAGCTGCAGACTGAAAGAAGCCATGATGTCACAATGTGTCAGAGTGTCCCTCAAGGATCACCAACGTTGCACCTGTTCCTAACCTAATTTACCATATTCTCATCCTCTCCAGTTCAGTTGCTCCCTAATCCTATGAGATTGTTTATGGAATGTGTTTAGACCTTGCACTGATGGGGCAACAAAAGGCCCTCTGAAAGCACCCTGCACTGAGGTGGAGTGCAAGGGCCATGGTCCACCTGGGGTGTTCCTCAGTACAAACTAAGACATTTGGTGACAAAAATCAGCATGAATTAAAACCAAAGTGTCTCTAAGTATTTACACATGCAACAGTCATGGCCACTGATTAGCCAAGCAGCACGAATCTCTGAGCCACAAGGAACAGTCAATCACATTAATTTCTTTAATTCATTAATTAATGTTCCGTTATTAAATATACAGAAAGAAAACATGTTTCACAAGCAAAAAGCAATCTACGATATCTAAGCACTTAAATCACTACTCAAACTGTATCCTACTCCCGAAACTAAGTTAAAAGTCTAGCATGGGAAAAAAGCATTACATTGATTTATGCCCTGACTATTGCCAGCTTCAGAAGAACGAACAGCAGTCATTTCTGTGACAAAAAGATTAGACTGACATAAAGTTTTGCATTATTTAACTACCTGTGGCACCCCTCACCCTACACTTTTTGTCAGTCAAAAGAAGTAGAATTTGGCTAATATTCAACTTGCATATTTGGCTTATATTAGTCAAAAAACAGATTGAATGGACAAAATAGTCGACTTTGAGCCCTAATGATTCCTTTTGTAGCATCTTTACAAGGTAGCTAGCTCTGTTAATACCAACAGCCTTATGTTTCATCCATTCCACTGTAAGAGGGAAGCTAGTTCCTGGAAATTAGGTTTTCTGGTGCCTTTATTTCTGGTACAGAATGTCTAAGAGTGGAGAGATCTGAAAAGAAACAGACAAATAAATACAGGATAAGACTAGGAAGAAACATCTCCCAAAACAGAAGCATACTTGAGCATCCAAACTGCCAATTAACAGTACATAGCCAACAAGAAACATGTATGGAAAAATGCAGAGATGTGTGGGGATTTAAGAGGCTACATTGCAACTAAGCTTTATACACACAGAATTTCAAGGTATTTAGGCTCCTAAATCCTACCTAGGAACATAAATTCCCACTCAGTTCTACAGGAAACAAGCCACCTTCCCATCTCTTATGATTCAGGTTCAAGGACTGCTACCATGAGCCATCAGTGTATGCGCCTCTCATGTGCCTGTCTCACTGTATTAGGCAACCAGAAGAACATTACGAAGGAACTCTTGATGCACCAGTGACTCAGAACAAAACTCTCACTCTACCATAAATACATTTAATGTCCTGCACATAGGACTGTTTAATGAGACTCAGTAAAAGCTTTAGAGGAGCAGTTGCAGAGTGGAAATGCAGAGCATGGGGGAAGGGAAGTTGCAGGCAATTGCTTATTGTGAACTTACCTACAGGTTCAGAGATTTCCTCTGTAAAGCTGCCAGCCTTTCTTCACACGCAATTATGATGTACCATTTGTATTGCTGGGGAACCTACTAGCCCAGGTTATGGATCAGTCCCTACACAGATGCAAAGAAAAAAAGAATATGATTTCACATCTGATGAAAGTCATGTAACCCAAATATTAGCCATAACAAATTTTGTAAAAAATTTTATTGGTTTAGAATAAAGCTAGTTACTGTCATCCATAGTAAAATTATCATGAAAACACTCTTCATATTACATTTGAACAGGCTTAGAAAGGAGAAATATACACTGAATTACAGGGAGAAATACAGATTATTACAGTATTACATATACTCTAGATAGACAGAAGAAACATCTTCTTTGCAAGCAGCGGGGGTTTTATAAATAGCCAGATAAAATGTATTTTATGTAAGTGACTTACGAAAACTGAACACACGGGAACCACTCCAGTGACTACAGTCTTGGAGAGCTTTCTATTATAAACATGAGAATATCTTTGGATATCATTTATAACACATATTCTCCAGTAATAATTTACCCTTCCACTCTTATAAAGGTACCTCACTGTTACCATGAAAAAAATCAAAACAACTTAAGAGAGAGCAACAAAGGAAATTTGCATCTTTCAGGCAACCTGACACTAATATCTTCCTAGGATAAAGTATATTTTAATGAAGATATTGTCAGCAATACATGTGTTCATGCTTTTTTTTTTCCTTCACACTTGGATTTTACTTCATTTATGTCATTATCTACCTTGCAAGTTTAAGAAATGCATCATTTATTCATGACCTCTCTTTCAGAACTCCTCAGTTACGCAGATGACCAGGTTAAAGAAAAATCAAATGGTTTATCTGAGAACAGTTTGTGTCAAAATAAACCGTGTATGTTGTACTTCTGCTACCTGAAGTCATAATTAAAAAAACCCAACCCAAAAAACAATGCTTGTTTTACCTTTTTTTCAGAATAAACTCTCATAATTAAACTTTCCACTTTTCCAAGTAGCTGACTGTGTATTCCTGCACAGCAGGAGGTTTTCTCCACAGACATATTGACTTGGACAATAAACAAAGCAAAAATCCCTGACTGGAGTTTACAGCTAAATTTAACCATGCATATTGTTAATAAAATTTGCATATATGTCTTTCAACATTAAGAAAAAATAAAAGTTGAAATTCAATGAATTTGGGCACTGTGCTGCTTTGCAAGAAAAAAAAATGAGATTTAAGCTGTAATTTCCATATTTATTGAGGCTGTATGTCAAAGGAAATCTGTGCGAAAAAATTCTGGTGCTGCCTTGATGAGATTTGAAAGATGACAGCATATTAATAGTAAAGGAGCTTCTCCTTAGCAAAGATGGCTTAAATAGTACCTATAAAACACTGATGAAGGGCCACCCAATTCTAGAAACCATTTCTAGCATCTCTGATCTTTCTATCCTTAAACGACAAAATAAGTAAAAGCAGTTAACATGTTTTGAAAAAATATCACCCACTATTTCCCCTCATTGTCAACTTTCTCCATGAAACCTTAACAGATCAGTTCAGCATTAGCTTCTTACAATTAAAGGTGGCAGAAACTTTCATTCATTGATTTTTTTGTCACAACACTGCATCAGCGCTAATCCTCCAATGACAAGAGCCATCAGTAGCAAACATTAACCTTCTATTCTTTATTTTTGTGTCTCTTTTCACAGCATCTTGGACACTTGGATGTCTTAGGAATTTGATTTGAAGGAATTAGGATTTATAGTTCCTTTAAAACTAAGTTACTTTACCTGGGTCTGCCTATTCACAAAAAAAGTAGACAATGGAATGCAGTTCTGCAAGCATAAAATCTTTTAGATGAGCACAAATACTTCCACACTAAAGAGAGAAAATTATACTCCTTTGAGGTAACTCTCCAGCATAAAAATTGAATGTTCCAGGGATTATGCTGTTGTTTGGGTGGTTTGGGCTTTTTTTGTTTATTATTATTATTGTTGTTGTTGTTGTTGTTATTATTATTATTGGTATTGCTGTTTGGGGTTTTTTTAACTGAAACAGTGAATTTTTATCAGTAAAGCACTCATTAAACTATGAAAATGTTCATCATAACACAGTGTACTTTATGGCTTTCAATACTTGCACTTGCTCTGGGCAGGATTTCAAGGGTGCCTGTAACCCATGGTTAAATCTTTAGTGTTTGACTGCTCCTCAACTAGAGGACAGAGAAGGAAGAAACGCCACTCCGGTAAAAGTGAGGAGCTGGGTCATCACTTTAAGACATTACCCACAGTTGACTGTGCAGATAAGTGGCCCAGTCATTCCTTTCTCAAGTTTCAGGTGAAACAAACACAACTATTAACACTGAAACTACAAGATTTGTAACACCCCAGTGAGACGCACAGATCAGCTCACACCTCTCAAATCACTTCTAGCACACACAGTAGGCCAGGGCGAGGCATCTCTGAATCCTGCGCCCGAATTCTTCCTGCAAATATCGCTGCATCTCTTTTCGCAAGACATGCTGTGAGAGAAGTGCACTACAACCACCACTTCTAGGATTCAGACTGTGGCTATAAACAAGCAAGGTCTAACTGAGAATCTGTAAAACAGTATGGTACCCTACTAAGTACCCTCTTGGGAGATTCTGGTGTCACAACATTACATCAGATTTTTTTTTTTCCAAAATGTTTCATTCAGTTATTGTGCAACAGAGGTAGCTGAGGAAGGGGAGGAGTAATTTTATTCTGCAAAAGTGCAAAGAAAACTAGGTGCAGTGACACAGAGAAAGTCACCAATGTCTTATCTTTATTCTGGTCCAATCACAGGAAACCAAAAAGTTACAAGAATCTTCGACTTTTAGTAAGGTGATCAGCTTCAGTAAGGTGCTGAAAGTTCACTCGAATGTGTTCACGACATTGAAGTCAGTGGAAGTCAAGGACCACAATTCTCCAAATACAAATTGATGAGCAGGAAACCAAGCCAGTTGTTAAACGTTCCAGAATCAGGCACTGAAATTAATGAGTTAAAGATTAATTCACTCATAGACTGTGTGTACATGGTCACCTCATGGGGCCATCACCAGGAAGACAAGAGATCTTCTTAGAAGAACTGGCTCTACCAGAGGCTAATTAACAGATATGCTGACTGTAAATAAAAGCAGGAGGTGGTAAACAGAAAAGAATAGGAAGTTTGATGGGGCTCCCAACGGATGCTGTGTGTCAATAAACGTCAGTTGAAACTTAGATGCTGCTTTTGTGCTCTCTTAAGGAAATCATTATAATCACATTATTCTGTAACACAGCCTAGCCTCATCTCCATGCATCATACTAGAGAAGATATTTTTGATCAACTCGACATTTGTTAATTACAAAACCAAGCATATTGAAGCTGTTTTGTTTTACATACAGAATGAAGCAGCTTATTCAAAAGTGAAAATTATTATATCCAGATTTACTACCCATAAAACTAACAATTATTTCTTATTTCCCAAACCAAACTAGTGACTCCTGTAAAAGTATGGTTTGTTTCAAAAATGCCAGCACAAGAGCTGTACAAAACAGACATGAGACTGATATACACAGCAACAATTAGACTTTTAAAGCACAGAAACACTTTTCCAGTTTATGCTCATCATTTCCTAAAACTGTAGAAGATCTATGTCTTAACTCTGGGTTTTGGCACGAGATTCTTTATGTGTTTTTTACCATAGCATTTTCCTTCCCTGAATCCCAAATTTTCTGCCAATAAAAATATAAATACTTCTAAGAAAAAGAGTTTTAATAGTACCAAATACTGAAAAGATGATGATTCATTGTCCATTCGCTGCCCTACACTCCCAAAAGTTAACTCCCACTGCAAGTTGGATTTTGTTTGTTGTTTCCTAATCCCCTCTCCCATTTAAAGACTTGATTTGACAAACCTTTTCTCAAGCAAGCAGACACTTTAAGCAGGATCACTGACAGAAGGATAGACTATTTTGCATGAAAAAGTTTTGCAGGATGTAATCTTCTCTTTCCCTTGAAGTTAAAGTAATTACTACCTACTCCCACAATGAAAGAAATTTAATAGTGGCAGTACAATTACTTGTGAACACATGTTTATTTTGCACCCAATTAGTCCCCTCAATTCTTTCAGTTTCAAGAGTGGACAGATTTGGCAATTCTATTTGCTTCTCACTCCTTCAAATTATCATAAAAATTTTAACTAAATTATGTGAAAGAGGTTGCACTATTCTGCTATTCTTGATACACTTTAGAGACAGGATTACAATATCTCCTTTCACTTCACAAAATTTCTAAATTAATTTTAAAAAAATTTATATATTTTTACTACATTTGTAGGAAAACACGATTTTTATTTTTTTTTTTTTGCTAATTTTTCCAACTCATGAATTCTAAAGTACTAAAATTTCTTCCTTGGACAATGATTATTTGAAATAACACAAATTAAATGTGTAGCACTATACTTCCAAAAGCATTTAGATTCCATACATGAGCAGCTGTAAAGCAGTGCCATAGGAGCTCACTCTTATGCTTCAATATTGTGCTTTCCTTTCTTCGTTGTCTTTCCTGCCACAGTTTGGGTTCCAGTATGATGAATCTCTTTCTCAACAAAAACTATTTCTTCCTTTCAAACATTTATCAGGCTATTACATTTTCATGCAAATATTTATTTTAAATAATTCTAAGATAATGAAAGGAAGCTTTTATTATAAAAGGACATTTCTAGTACTGGCAATGTACTATAATAAAATTCTGCTGACAGAAAACTGAATAAAAGGTGTCTATCATGTCAGGAAAAGAAATAAAAGAGACACCATATAGTTTGGTCAATATAACTCTCAAGTAAACTTAAGCACACAGGAGTATAACTAAATATATACACTTTCAGGAAATCATAAAAAATCTGAAGAGTTTATTAAAATATAGAAAAAATTAGCTGCTGTCTTACAAAACTAGGCATATGCTCATTTACAGATTTCATCATTAATGTCTGCAAAGACTGAAAAAGCATAGTATTGTTCAGCAGTCATGAAGCAAACTACAATAAACTGCCATGAAAACAAAGTTAAAAATATTTGGAAAGATGTTTCTGTAAGTGTTAACATGTAAAACAAGCAATAAAGAATAACAACTTTTGCTTAAGAAACACCACATGTTGCAGTTCGTGATAGATTCTGGCTAAAAGCTGCATTCTAACACTGAGCTAATGACAGAACATAACACCTACTGAAACTAATGTAGGTCATATTAAGAATTTTCCTCCCTGATTTTTTTTTTATTTGCTTTGTTTTGCCTTTTTGTTATAATACAAGGTACAGTGAACTCTATAGAAGTATCAACTTATGTTCTACCCACCAACTAAAAGGTTCACAGTTGTATTTGATACATAGTTGTAGCAAATTCTTCTGAATTTGCTGAAGAAGCAACAAAAGAGAAATGGAAGCTGCAAAAGAAAATTAAAAAATCAGCAAAAAGCTCAAGACCCCAGAATCACAATCTATTCAGCCAAAATTCTCTATCCCTATGTGCACATTTTTGTGACTGGCTTACAGTTTTGTTGGAGAAAAGAATCTCATTTCTGATAAATTTTGCTGAAGTCCAGACTGCCAAAGCCCACACTTACTCATTCATTGATGTTCTTCTCCTTACCCAAGGATGGCTATGACAATTCAGATCAAAGGTCCATTTAGCTCAGTATCCTGCTTCCAAAAGCAGCCTCAAGTCAGACTCAAGAGAAGAGAGCATGAGTAAAGAAATCAAATACAGTATTTTCCCAGAATAACTCCCTATCCCTTAAATTATATTCCCATCAGGAATTCCTGAGACTGATGTGATTTATCTATTTATCTTGCCCAATGGGTCTTCTCTTTCAAACACTTAGCCAATTATCCCTTAAACTTACATATACTTTTACATCCACAACATGCCAAAGCAAGGATACCCTGGGCAAAGACACTAGGAACTGTATTGCAGTGATACTGTTTTCTGCACAGTCAGTGTTCAGTGGATATGGTACTCACATTTGTTTATTAAAACCAAGCCAAAAAAAAAAAAAAGGCAAGATTGATGCACCTCTTGAAAGAAACTGAGTTTTCATACACCCCAGGAAGTTGTCCTGTGGGAATTAGCATTCTGAGCACAGTAAAATACTGCAATATCAAGAATTATAACAAGGTTGAATATAGCTTAAAAAGCAAGCAGATGTCATGAGTGAAAAAAACAGACACCTTAACAAAAGCAACAAAAACACTCTAGAAGCCTCTCTCAGTCCAACAACCGAATTTTGATCCAAGGAGGTTAAATATAAGGCTGCCTGAAAATCGTCCACTGCATCTATTTTTTATGGGAAACGAGGCTTTGAGCTAAACACTTTTTGGTTGAATTGTTTGGGGGGTTTTGGCATGTCTAGATATGTGATTCTGCAAATATACTTTTCTTACCCAAAAGCCAAACTTACCAACTGAAATATTTTATTGAAAACATACAATATTATTAAGAAATGCTACTGTGGCATTTCCTTGTATCTCCAGCTTACCTGATTTATGTGGCAGATCTCTATCAACAAGACTTATCATTTAAATGAGAATTCTGATAATAGATTACTTTGAGGGATTCCCTACTTTCCAGCACTCCCTTCAAAGACGAAAGATCATGGCACAGTGTCAAAGGTGGTAGGCAGCCTCAGCCTTGCAGAACAGGGCCAGCAGGCATTCGAGCTGTAATATCAGATGAGGACTAGAGTAACATTTTTCAAATCAAGAAGTTTTAGTTTTCAGACAAAACTTCCCAGTCCTCTAAATTCTGTCAAAGCATGTAGTGTTTCCTGGAAAATTAGGACCAAAAAAAAAAAAAAAAAAAAAAAAAAAAAAAAAAAAAAAAAAAAAAAAAAAAAAAAAAAAAAAAAAAAAAAGGAAAGAAAAAAGCT